GGGGATTTTTCACATTGTTAGACCGGGAAACTGCTAAGAAGAATCATTTGTAAAGTACAGACTTTTACAAAGAGGACGACTCTTTCACCTTAACATTTTACCTAGGTATTTTATCCAAAATAACAATCAAACCTGGAAGATATGATTGATAGAGGGTGGAATGTCGTACACGGTTGCAGATAATGATAGCTAATTCAACTTTATTATACTTGCCTTCCCTAGATCCTTGCGTCACGCCTGGTTGCAATGCTCCATTTAGCGAGGGTTGCAGAGTTTTGAACAACAGACCACAGTGCATTTGTCCCACTTGTACCAACATCCTTAGGCCTATTTGTGCATCTGATGGCGTACAGGATCAGAGCGAATGCAATATGAAACAACAAGCTTGTCGTGGAAATATATGGGTTAACGTTACAAAGGAGGGACCATGCGGTGAGTTCATCATAAATTTGTGGCGATTTAATCATGAAATTATTCATTTTGTTGGTTTAAATTCAACTTTATCGAAGTGATCTGTGTTCTGATTTCTGCAACTTTTCGTCATTTTCACATTTAACTTTTCTACTCTTTTTTCGCCTTTTTCTTTTCTTGTTTTCATTTTTCTCCGTGTTTGTTTATTTAACTGAGGACATATTTTGTAGCCTCCGTAAAGTTTAAGTTTCTTCTGCAGCAACTCACAACTTATTTATGAGTACTTTTCTCAGGATTTTGCTAGCTTCAAAGAAGTCCTAGATAAGCTGATACCCGCAATGCTATCTGGCATTGTGCAATATTTATGTTATCCATGAAAATATGAATTTTATTGCCCATTATAGGAGCAACGTATACGTTCAAATTATTCCACGTTTATTTACTCTTTCTCTCTCTAATCCTAAATGTGCACGTTTCTTCTCTCTTTGTGTTTTTTAACTGTTTATTTTTTTTTGTTTTCTTTTTGTGTAATACTTTTGTTTAGATAAAGAATGCAGTCCTCTTTTAGATATCGCATTTATCATCGATTCATCTGGGAGTATTGGCCGTAGAAACTGGGAAAGAACAAAGCGATTTGTTAAAGCTGTGATCAGCAAACTGGTACTTAGTGCTTCCGCGGCCCATGTGGCTGCCATAGCATATAGCACCGATCCCCGGGTGGTGATCAGGTTTAACAGCTTCCAAGGGACACTGCAGGTCAATCAAGTATTCGATGCTATGCGCTGGCAGCGTGGCTTCACGTACACGGACAAGGCTCTTCTTTTGGCAGACTCAGACCTATTTCAGACTTCAAATGGAATGAGGACAAATGCAAAGAAGGTAGGAAGACCGCTAAGTGTTTATTTATTATCGTGGTTGTGCTTTGGGCTTCAAATACATTGATTACTTTCTGTAAAATTGGAACTGATACGCTTACCTCAAGATTCTTGTGTACGTATTAGAACGTGCGACGACTGCTTACTACAAAGCTAACCAGGTCACGGTTAACTAACGCTTTTTGTTTCCGTTATTTAAGAACGTAGCGCTAACCAACATGATTACCTCTTTTCCCAAATGAGGNTTGAATCATCTTTCTCTTGTGGGACAGGGTTCTCATAAATGTGTGGGGTGCGGCCGGTTTTCTGTTTTGCAAGCAAGACCCACACCGCTTTCAATATTGATTTCAGCCAATCAAATTCGTGAATTCGGTAGTTCCCAGTCCTTGTGAGACACAGCCATATAATAATTACATGTATTTCATGACCTTGCAGACAGGTTTGCTGTTTATTTTGTTTGTTTAGTTTTGTATCATACTCCGATGAAACCCCAAACCACTCGCGTAAACCTTGTAAAGATTCAGGCGACCTAACTTTAGCTTATAACCCTGGACCAGAGCTAGCTGCCTCTCCATAGTAAAAACCGTTCTTTTTGTGTGTAACTTTCACGTGTACTTTAATTGCTTTGATAATCTCGTTCAAAAGATTTCTGGTAATGACATTCTTTTTGTTCAGATTGCCATCGTGATCACAGATGGTAAGCAGACGACAACATCGCAATACACCAAACTTTCAGAAGCCTCAAGTGGAATTAAAGACAAAGGAATCACCGTCTATGCCATTGGGGTTGGTGGTGGAGTGGACCGTGCAGAATTGGAAGAGATAGCATCCGGACTGGATTATGTATTCACTTCATCATCATTCGAAAGCCTCCAGAACGAGGCTTCAAAAATACGGAAGAGTGTATGTGAAGTATCATCACCTAGTAAGTAATCGGCGTTGAGCTATAGTTACAATAGCATTTTTTTCCTGACATTTTTACCGTTTACAATGGTTCCTTGGCAGTGTAGATGGACATAATGACTAGTATTTTCTTTACAGCTCAAACACTTCAGTTAGAGTGATTGAGCACAAGCTCAAGACTCGTAAAAACTTAAACTGGAACTGGGTAACACGGTTTTTTAAGTGTTAACTTTTAAACCGTTTTCGCCAGTTTTTAGTTAAAAAATTTTTGTCCATGATGCTGGACTTCCATTAAAAGAAAGGCCGGCTGATTGCGGTGGTTTCTCTTTCGTCGGCTCCGGAAAATCCAGCTCCACAAGAACACTCGAGAATTAGACAAGTCTCGCGTTCCCTTTACACTTTTTCTCTCTCATTCGTTAGTCACGGCTTACTCTTTACCTATAGCGGAACTTAGCAAAGCCAAGGCTAAAACCGAATGTTAAATGAACAATTTTCCTTGGTCCGTGCACTGGTCACAGAGAATTCTTTAATGTTAAACCACTTCAAGGCGAATTGAAGTTATCTTTCCGTTTTTGAACAGATCCCTGCCAAACTAATCCTTGTAATGCTCCATACAACATCGGATGCGAAGTTGTAGACAATGTGGCGCAGTGTATATGCCCCACCTGTCCAAACATACTGAAGCCAGTTTGTGCATCAGATGACGTCGTGGATCTTAGCGAATGTCATTTAAAACGTCAGGCTTGCCAAGGAAATATTGTTGTTTCTGTTGCAAAGCAGAGTCCATGTGGTACGTTGTTTGTCCTGTTTTCTATTTTATACGTTGATGTGCCGTCACCTCTAACCTTGCACTCAACACTGGGAATTTTTTAATGTTGTTTTGTTTAGAAGTAATTATTAAACAAAAAAATTTAATTTTGACGTGCACTGGTTAACAAGGAACAAAATGATCATCAGAAATCATTCCCATGAAAGAAATTGCAGAAAAATGGAAGTCGTATTTTTTTCAGCACCACCGATGAAGAGCTAACTGGTATCCTTCGGGGAGACGAGATGAAATTCGTATTCACTATTTAAATGTTTTTGAAGTCTTTTTTTCCTTTCAAGGAATTTTTTATGTAACAGAGTACAGAGCTATTAGTTAGTTTTACTGTCATTTTTATTCTGTCAATCTTACTTCTACTTTTAATTGCATATTTGTGTAATTTCAGTGTGAATAACTTAATTTGATTTATTTTAATTGTAATTGATGTATTTTTAACAGGGAAGAGCCACCTAGTGGATCTGTTGATAAACCATTATTATTATTATTATTAGAGACTTTTTAAACTTGTTTTGTAATATTTATACCTTAATTATGATCATCATTATGATTATTATAAGAAATGTGTATCCATGAGCTTTTCTAGAATTTTTACTGGACATTTTGACGCATTTGTTTTCGATTTTTAAGCATTTCATCATAATTTTTGTAAAGACTTTTAGTGATTATAGTGAATAAAGATTATATTTTTATTAAAATTATTATTATTATTATTATTATTATTATTATTATCATTATTGCGTCCTTGATCTGCCTCTATGTCTCCTAGGTGCTATTCAATTTTTGGTTGTGCGTAGAATTTTAAAAAATTGTCGCTCTATGTTGCTCTTTTGAGAATCATTTACTTCCTTTCACTATCAGACAAAGACTGTCGCCCCATCATGGACCTCGCTTTCATCATTGACTCCTCTGGTAGCATTGGGCGAGGTAATTGGGAAAGAATAAAGCGATTCCTTAAAGCGCTAGTTAGCAAACTTGACGTTAGTGCTTCTGCCACGCACGTGGCAGCTATCGCCTACAGTACGAATCCACGGGTAGTGATGACGTTCAGAAACTTCCAGGGAACATCTCAGGTTAATCAAGTGTTTGATGCTATGGCATGGCAACGCGGCTTGACCTATACGGACAAAGCTCTCCTGCTTGCAGACAGAGACCTTTTTCAGACTACAAAGGGAATGAGGTCTAGTGTACCAAAGGTAAGAGGGGATCGCTGAGAGAGAGTGAGCTTCATTTTAAGAAATTCATACAGTGAAGTGTCACATTAGTAGCCGCATCCACGCCTTTGAGTGAAATTAGAATAAGTTTCCCTCAACCTTAGTTACCCTGATGTCTTTCATTTTCTTTGTTTTTGTTTTTTATGTAAAGCAGTCGATTTGGTTTATCGCCAGGAATAACCTGATGCTGCTTGAGCCTGATCTATGATTTCCTAACTTCTCCTTATTTGAGAGCGCTTCGTCATTCCCTAGAGATTTTATGCCATATATAGTGATTCTATATCTGTGTATATGCGTTCTTGACAAAACGTGAGGTCAAGATGGCCGGATATTGGCCGAGTTCTTTTTCTGCGTTTTTATGGACCGAGGCGTAAAATCGCAGACAAAGAACGAGGCTAATATCCAGCCATCTTGACCGTAAGCTTGGTCAATAATGGATTTATTTTAAAGCAAAAAGATTAATAAGAATCAGGAATGACTTGATCATTTCGAGAGCCGTGAAAGAAACCCAACTGTCTTTGTATCACAATAAACCCAAGAGGGTCGTTTCATTTTTTCTTTGCTTTGACTGTCTTCTGCCACTTTTTGCGACTTCGTCGCCGACATTTTCCAAAAGCTTTTTTTCTTGTGCGGGATCAATACAGGCTACCCCTCCCTTTCAAAAGTAGGTCTCTTGTATATTAAATGGCTTTGACCACTTCCCTCATACTCCCATTACATTTTGATGATTTGTGCATTATATCTTCGGTAATACTTTCTAGGTGGCCTTTGTAATCACAGATGGTAAGCAGACGACAACGGGCGCGTACACGCGCCTCTCGGTGGCCTCTCAAGGAATGAAGAACAAAGGTGTCACTGTGTACGCTCTTGGGGTCGGCAGCGGAGTAGACAGAGCGGAGCTTGAACAGATTGCCTCAGGATCGCAAAATATTTATACTTCGGCATCATTTAAAGATCTACAGAATATAGCCGGAGGGATAAGACGCCACTTTTGTAAAGGTGTAGAGGAATTTCTGCTAATTTTCTTTGAAAAATTAAATTTATTTAGTTAAAAAAAAGGGTTACTAATGAATGATATTTGACAGGAAAACAGTGAAGATTTTGGAAGGGATAACGATCAAGACTCATCTTCCCTCCATAACACCCTCTAGTAAACTGATACAAGCAGATTTTTTACTTAACTATTCAAAATTTTGATGTTGTAAATGTGATATAATGCTTACTTTGTTTTTTGATTAGCATATGTTACTGGACCCTCAACAATTCCAACACCCACAACATCAGGTAATTTTGCTACTGTATCTTGTCCTGTCATCAAGTTCCATTTGAAATCCTGAAATAATCGCTTTGGTAACGATTGGAAATCTTTACTCTGAGCCTCGAAGCGGTGTGGGCAATTGGTTACAGCGCTTGACATGCTTACCGGGTAACGAGTTCGAGTCCCAAGCCAAATAGAAGGAAATAATCAATCGTCCAGGAACTTTTATGCAATAAAATCTCTCAAATTGGCCTCGAGAAGTTGTCTTCATAATTTGGGGAAATACATGCAAGTTAATCCACGAAAAATGATTAATGAAAGAAAAAATTCACAATAAATGTTATTACAAGAAAGGCTGACCAACTTGTAAACGACTTTCCCGTAGGCATGATCTGGTCACGTTCTGTTTCACTTCCCTTTACGGGCCTGTCATCCTAGGGTGAGTAAAGCTTATCTAACTCTACATTTTGTAGATCCATGTGCTACGGGCTGCACTGCTCCGTTCAATGAAGGCTGCCGCGTAGTGAATGATACTGCGCAGTGTATCTGCCCCAGTTGCCAAAATATCTTCCTCCCTGTATGTGCATCTGATGGAGTACAGGATCAGAGTGACTGCCACATGAGAAAACAAGCCTGCCAGGGTGATATAGATGTTACTGTTGCAAAGCGGGGCGATTGTGGTGAGTCACTCATGAAGATTCTCTAATGCTTTTTTGACAATAGCTATCAAAAACCTTTTTTACTGTGTTTTGGCTTTATGAAAGCAGCAGGGCCTCGAATGATGCGGCACCTTTTTCCTGTCAGTTCCGAGAGTAAATAATGTTGCTAACTTGGGGAACCATAAGTTTCTAGGGAATCTTTTTTAGAAATTATTACAACAGCTTTGTAGTGCAACAAATAACAATCGTAATGCTTACTTTCTTTTATTCAAATTTCTATCAGATAAAGAATGTCGCAACGTGGTAGACGTCGCTTTTGTGATCGATTCATCTGGAAGTATTGGTCGAAAAAATTGGGAAAGAATGAAGCGATTCCTAAAAGCTCTGGTCAGCAAACTTGACGTCGATTCTTCTGCCACTCGTATAGCTGCTATAGCATACAGTACCAAACCAAAAGTGGTAACGAAGTTTGACGGCTTTCAGGGCACCAACCGAGTTAATCGATTGTTTGATAGAATGCTATGGCAACGTGGTGTTACCTACACGGACAAAGCCCTTCTTCTCGCAAACAGAGAGGTGTTCCAGACCTCTGCGGGGATGCGACCACACGTACCAAAGGTACAGGTCTTATTGTGTCCAAATTTGCTGTTTCCATTTCCAATTAAATTTTTCTAGGAAATGTGAGCATGAAGCCTGTGGAAAGGTTTGTATGGAAAGGTTATTACCTCCCAAGGTTAATTGATATAAATAGACATGATACACCAAAACTCTCCGTAGTTTGAATGGGATATCATACCTGATTATGCGAAGTCCTGCAATCTGAATGAGTCTGAGCAAAAACCTATCCCAAAGGCAAAGGATCTACAGGTACTCTGATAAAAGAATGTCACTTTCATTTTAAGAAAACTTATACCATTTGGTTTTTTATTTACATATGTATGTAGTTAGCAATTGTGGTCACAGACGGTAAACAAACAAAAGTACCATCCTACACCAGACTTTCGGTGGCGTCTCAAGGAATGAAAGACAAAGGCGTCATTGTGTATGCTGTGGGAGTTGGCAGGGGAACGGACAGCGCAGAGTTAGAAGAAATTGCATCTGGATCACGATACGTTTTAGTGTCTTCATCATTCAAAGATCTCCAGAATCTCGCCCCAGAAATGACAAGACGATTATGTGAACACAAACTATCAGGTCGGTCCAAGTAAACAATGCAGTGGTGCAATCATCGTAACACTAAGTAAAGAGCGCGTTGCTTTGAATTATCAATGTTTGAGCCTTTTTAGATATGTTTCGTTTCTTGACTAGGCTTGGATCGTGAGAATACTTAAATTTCTCCTTTCATAATCTTCTATGCGCTTCATTCTTTCAACAGTTTCAACCCCACCACCAACAACAACTCCATTACCGACAACTCCAGGTATTTAGATGCTTTTTTCTGTCAAATTCGATATTTTTACCTCGGATCCTTGAAAATTATTGAGGAGATATAACGGTATCTAATCCTTTCTTACAGATCTTTGCCAAACCCCTGGCTGTAGAGCCCCATACAACATAGGCTGCCGTGTTGTAGACAATAAGGCGGAGTGTGTGTGCCCAACTTGTGTGAATACCCGTCGACCTGTTTGCGCAACAGATGGTGTCCAGGACTTAAACGAGTGTCATCTGAGACGCCAAGCCTGTGAGGGAGATATAAAGGGCGTCGCTGTTGCCGTGGAGGAACCTTGTGGTATATTTATCATTCAATTAGTAGTGATGTTGATTTTTTCCAACATTTTCACCTTTCTGACTGTCTGTGTGTTAAAAGAAGTAATGCGTAAAATCACTGATCATTCTAAGTATTTTCTGTCGTTCGTTTTTGATAAAAGACCTTGTTGTCACATAGAGATGAGCATTCTAATTTGTAAGCAATTACTTTGCTCTTATATTTTTAAACAGGAAAGGAATGTAGCGCCGTTTTGGACATTGCATTTGTAATTGACTCATCTGGAAGTATCGGACGCAAGAACTGGCAGAAAATGAAGCGATTCCTCAAGGCTTTTGCCAGTAGACTCGACGTTCGTCGCTCTGCCACCCGCATAGCAGCTGTAGCATACAGTAACAATGCTGAGGTGGTAACAACATTTAATGACCTCCAGAGTACGGAAGAGGTAAATAGGAAGTTTGATGGGATGCGTTGGCAACGAGGCTTCACGTACACGGACAAAGCTCTCCTCCTAGCGGACCGAGATGCGTTTCAGACAACAAACGGGATGAGATCTAGTGTACCTAAAGTAAGGACTGTTTAAAAACTTGTGTCATAGTTTTTTGCCCTTTAAAATGAATTTTGCTTTTTCTTTAGTACAAGTAACAGAGCCCTAAGAAAATAATTAATGGGTTATCTTCGAATTCTCTGTCTCGTAACTTACTATCTTAGTTGATCACTTAAGGTTTTAATTGAAACTCTACTTAGGAGGATAATTATCAGTGGAGTTTCTTTTGTATTTCCGTTTCCTTTTAAATCAGGTAATAACTAGCCATGGTTATCATTGTATTTACTCCAAGATCTATTTTCATGAGAAATGTTAACACTGTTTTTGGACAGTTGGCGGTTGTGATCACAGACGGTAAGCAAACCACGTCAAAGCCCTACACTAAACTCGCAGTGGCCTCTCAAGGAATGAAAAACAAAGGTGTTACTGTGTATGCTCTTGGAGTTGGCAATGGAGCTGACCGTGCGGAGCTTTTGGAGATTTCATCTGGGCCACAGTATGTTTTTATCTCCCCATCATTTGAAGATCTTCAAAAGCTTGTCTCACTTTTGACAAGAGAATTTTGTAAGGATATGCTAATCACCACAGGTATGTATCTATGACGGGGAGGATGTCTGTATCCCTGTGTTGCTAAGGTCAGAGTGTGCTCGCATAATTTTGCCTTTATGATTTTTTTCCACTATTGCTTTAAAAGGATATATGTTTTACTTTGGTGTTCTGCAATATATCTTTATTTAGCTATCGTGCTACTGGGTAGTCTCTCTGCTTAAACAATTTTTATAATTTGATTGAGAAGTCTGTTTTTGGAGGCTATGGCATCTCTATATTGGTTATTCCTGAAAGGGATAACCAATATAGGAATAAATAAAGGAATAACCAATCTCTTTTACAGAATGAACAGAACAAGCTCCATGAACTTCTTCGTACTTGCAACACATACACCTTTAACCTAAGAAATATGCGGGGGTTTAAGTCAGTTTTTAAGACGAACAGGTTTCGTAATAGTTTTATTACCTACAATACCTTTAAGGCTTGAACGATTTTTTTAAATAACCGTTTTTTAAGAACGTATGTTTAGTGTCCTTATTGCTGTTTTAATACATTTAGTCTATTTAACGTAATTATCAATATTTAAAATTTGTAAATAATCGTATAATTCAACTCTTGGTTGCAAATCTGTTATTAATAAACTATCTATCTACCTGGTGTCTAGCTTCTTATAACTTTCCTGTGCATTTTATTCAACAGTTTCAACTCCACCCCCCACAACAACGCCTTTTCCGACAACACCTTTACCAACTACGCCAGGTATTCAGATGCAGCTTTTTTTTCCAAAGTTTCTTAAGACCGTCACAAGAAGATAATTAATAAAGAAGTATTTTCTCATCATTTTTGATAGATCCTTGCCAAACGATAGGCTGCAGAGCTCCATACAATATCGGCTGCCGTGCTGTAGACAATAAGGCGGAGTGTGTGTGCCCAACTTGTGTGAATACCCGTCGACCTGTTTGCGCAACAGATGGTGTCCAGGACTTAAACGAGTGTCATCTGAGACGCCAAGCCTGTGAGGGAGATATAAAGGGCGTCGCTGTTGCCGTGGAGGAGCCTTGTGGTATAGTTATCATTCAATTATTAGTGATCTTGATTTTTCCAACATTTTCACCTCTCTGACTGTCTGTGTGTTAAAAGAACTAATGCGTAAAGGCACTGATTATTCTAAGTATTTTCTAGGTATTTCCTGTTGTTGTTGTTGTTTCTTTTTTAACTCTGTTGGTAGAGCGCCGTTGTTGTTGTGCGGGAGGTCGTGAGTTCAAATCCGGCCGGACCAAAGCTCAGGCTCATTAAATAACTGAGAAGAAAGTGCTGCCTTTGTAATAATATCTGCAAATGGTTAGACTTACTAGTCTTCTCGGATAGG